GAGCAGGAGCCGGTCCTCGCTCACAGCCTGCCCCCTCGGCGCTCCCGGTGCCGCTTGCTGTCGGCCACCCGGTCCCCCGCCGCTCTGTGACAAGGGACCAGCACGGAGAGCTGGCAGAGACCCTTCTTCCCCTCCAAGATTGACTCAGTTGCAAGGAAGCTCAGGAGAAAAACCATCCTACCAGGTCCAGGAGCTGAGTCTGCCAGCGATGGGAGAGACGGACTTGTTCGAAAGGGCTCGATAATCTTCAGAGGCAAACTGGGGAAGCAGCGGCGGAGAGAAGGCATCTGCGCGGAGGGGACGGGCAAGGGTGACGTGAAAGCGAGGAGCACACCGAGTTTGACAGATGGCTGTACACTTTGGGCGAGCTCTGCAGTACCTGTATGTTTTACATTTACATAAGAGCACTGTGACATTGGAAATATTTTCCTTTTATTACAATATATCAAAAATATGCAGCTTTAGTAAACAAGGTCATATTACACTTTCTAATGCACTGTACAATGCTACATTACACTTATATTCGGTATGGAGAGGGAACCCGGGCCAGGGCTCCCACTGGCAGGTTCGGGGGGGGTGAAACGACTTCCACTGGCAACATGGAGCTTGCCCAGGTCCTCGCGAAGAGCAGGGCTGCTGCCCTCCGCCCCGGGGTGGCCCAGCGCCCGGGGGTCGGTGCCGCTAGAGTAGCACCGCCAGCATCCGCCCCAGACCTGCTCCTCCGGTCCCAGAGTCTTTCACAGTCCTTTCCTCACGGCTTCGCAGCCTTGGGGCCTAATCGATCTTTTCCACCTTCCCGATGATCTTCTCCTCGAAGATGGGCAGAATGGTGTCATCCTCCCGCACCTCCTCGAAGACCACGCCGCAGTCAAACTCGTCGCTCACTTTCTTAAAGTAATACCTGTAAAACCAGAGAGACAGGGGTCAGGATTAATGCCAGCGTATTCAGGAGCACAAGCCCTAAATGCAAGCACATTCACAGCTCTCGCAAAAGCGGTGGCTGGAGGTGGCCACGTTGCTGGAGCCTTGAAGTGTTCCCAAGGGCTTCCCAAAGCATCTCCAGCTTGAAAACGGTTACTTGGAGAGCTGCACACGTCATGCCTGGCTACTACGCAGAAGATGGCTGCTTTGGGACTCCGGCAGGGTCCAACCTCCCTGTCCTCTCTGGAAGAAAGCTTAGGAGGAGCTGAAATGGCTCTGGAAGTTGGGAGGGCTCCCCTGCCAAGTCCTCTTCTGGCAACCCCAGCATCACCGAATCAGCCAGAGCATCACTGAGCACAGACAGATGCTGCTCACCACCAGCCCAGGACCAACACTGAGGACCTGCAGAGCTATTCAGTAGCTTCTATTTAAGGTCTGAATTGTGATGGAGAACATTTCTGATACAAACCCCAACCTCCCATGCCCCGGTATCCAGCCCCTTCAACAACCACACCTTAGCA